AACAGACAATCTGTTGCAAAAAACCGGCGCCCAGAACGTTGACTCGCAAAAAAAGGAAACAAACAATCAACGCGCCGGTCTCACGAGATCGCAGTTAGCGCCTCCCGCGACCCCAGCTTAATGCACACGTGAAAAAACTTAAAAAGGGGTAAAACTGCCATCGCCGGCTCGCCGCTCCTCGTGTTCTGCTTCTCGGTCAGACGACGTCTGTCTGGTGCCGTTGCGGTGGCCACCCGACATCGACGGCAATCAGTTTCTCCTGCCCTCGCCTGCGATCTGCTTCTTGGTCAGGCTGTACACAAGGCACGAAAGTCACAAGTAAGTGACGATATGCAAAGGAAATTAAATCCTACTTTTATGAAATGTCGTTGTAGCAACTACTTTCTCTTATCCACTATTTTTTAAGGCTATAATCTATAAATATACCTATTTGTCACTTTTTGTTTTGATACATTGTCTCAAACCACCAACCCAAAATTAACAGTTTTCTTGGTCTATATAAACATGGATGCTATAAACCAACCGTCACAAAATCAATTGTTGCAAACCAAAGATTATGATGACTGAGTGGAACAAAGTGAAGAGTGAAGTTGGATAAACGAACAGTTGTGCAATAATTAACTTGCAAGGTTGAAGCTCAAGACGAAACTGGACACTTGACAACAAATGAGCAGCAATAATTACCCAAGCATTCTCTTATAGAGCACAAGATCAGCAGCAATGCACAATCATTATGTTATTGTCTGCACGTGCAGAATTCCTATTTTAATTTCAGCAGCAATGCATTATCAGGCTCAGCAGCTCAGGCCTCCTTTTAATTTCTTTTTATTCAGTTCAACATTTCATCAGATGCAGAAAGGTCACTCATCAACAGACCCTTTTCTGCAGTATTCGTGATGATATTCAGTGAGTCCAAAGCAGCAACTAAACTGAATATTTGGCATCCATTTTGTATACTCTTAGTTTTAATCCATTGTCCCAAACCATCAACCCAAAATTAACGGTTTTTTAGTCTATAAACTTGGATGCATCTATAAACCAATTGTGACAAAATCAACTCTTGCAAACCAAAGATTATGATGACTACCTGCACAAAAGCCAATCTAGCCAGATTGCATCTAATATAATTTTATAAAGCTGATGGAACATCGCATTCTACCAAAGATGAAACAGAACATAAACCACCAGTTCATGAGAACAATTTTTTTAAAAGTATCACTAGATGGCTAAAGGGGGCAACCGTTGATAATGTAAAATCACTTTATCATTTATCCGTCTTTTAGTCAGCATAAAGGAAGCATGATTTCAAATTTTGTTTCCATTCGCCATGAAGAGTGTTTCTGAATTCAGTCATGCTGTGAACATGAAGGAAACAATTTATAGTCAGAAAAGGCATATTAATTTCAGTGGAATTTTAGAAAAAAGGTGAGTTTTGTTTTAGGAAAAAATCATATTAGTTTCATAAGTCGCTTAAAAATTAATGATGTATTCCAAAACCTAAGTAGCGTACTCCTGTTGAAGTTTCGGGATGATGACCAAAACAACATTTAAACCAAATGTAATGGACAGCGTGCTAATCTAAAAATCCAAACTGCGAAAAACAGCTTTAGATTTTTCTTTTCTTCAAATTGTAGTAATGTGAAGTGTGATATTCTTAAAATTCATGTTCCGGTCTCAAGTGGATTAGCATTTCTAAATTATAATTCACAGTAGGCTATTGAACGTTCTTAATCACCTGTATGGTCACATGTACAAATCTGTGTCTTTTTACCTCTTTTGCAGTGGGTGGTAACATGTAAAACCAGCCAAGTCCTAGGATTGAAACACCGTAAATTCCTTTATGAAACATCTAAGAAATTTTGCCTATTAACTGGGATTCAAAAATTTCTGCACTTGTGTTGATGAATGCAATTGTGGAACAATGTGAGCATATGAGATAAATTGATAGTATATAGCTCAAACAACATACAAGAAATTCGCAGCTAAATTCTCCCAGAAAGAAAACACCTGCGAGCTCATCATATGGCTCACCTTGGTGACAGCTAAATCCTAGAAGTGCAGTAAGAAAGATCTGCTTCTCCTTCCCTTGCTGCCTCTATGGTGCCATCGCCGTGGACACCCGACATCGATGGCAACCTGCTTCTCCTACCCTTGCCGCCTCCCACGCGATCTGCTTCTCTACATGGGCATAGTCACAATAAATTGCACACACACAAGGTTGGACACTCTATATATACAAGGACTAACAGTACCAAGAGGCCATCATAAATGAATAACCAACAAGCAGTACTGGCAGCACAAAAAATAGATAAAACAAGCTCTGGCAGCACGAGAAATAGATAAAACAACGAATTGGGAACAAGCAGGATCGGGATTGTAGGGAACTAATTATCGTAATAACTATTGTTTACACGGCGCAAATAACAGATACTGACTATCACAAATGAATTAAATAAAGCTTCCGTACTCTAATATGGCATCATTAACCTGCACAAAAACTAGAAGTGAACAAATTAAACTAAGTAATGGCAGTGCATTCCGACTTGGGAGGAAGGAGAAGCCATACCCTAAAGTGGGGGTGCCGAGTGGATTGCCCTTCTTGCCGGAGAGTGCGACGAGGTCGGCGACGCCGCGCCCGCGCCAGGCAAAGGGGTCCATGAGGAGCGGGAACACTAGCTCCGGGCTGGGCAGGTCCGTGGCGGGTGTCGCGGCGGCCCGTCTCGACTTGCCACAGCGAGCGGTGGAACTGGAAGGAGACGGCGTCACGAGCCGCGAGCGCCACGACGTCCGCGCCGTCTCAGGCGCCGCCCGCCTCACCCTCCGCCGCAGCCTCGCCAGCCGCCATCGCCGCCAGCCGATGCGGCCGCGGCTTCCACTCCACCGGTCTGCTCGGTTGGAGCGACCGGCCCAGCTCGATTCGCTATTTCGCTCGAGTGGAGCAATCGCGAAGCTCGATTCGCTATTTCGCTCAATTGGAGCAGGCTCTCTGCTCATCGGCCTCCGCCTAGCTCGATTGCGGAATGGATAAGGCAAAACAACGATGTCTTTGTTCTTTTTTAAAAAAAAAAAAAACATGGGCCCCACTTGAACCCAAACCGTTTGGCATAGCAACAACTATCTACAAGTTCATTCGACCAAAAAGAATTAGAGTCTACAGCTCCGTTCAGCATTTCAAGGCACTGCTGCCGCGGCGGTCTTTGTGAGTGTTGGGATGAGCAGCCCATTAGGTTGTATTTTTTTTTGCAGCAATATGGACTACTTTGCTAATGTCCTAAGGCCGTGTGAGAGTGAGTGTGATCGGAGCGGGGATTAAAAAGCCAAAAATCTCTATGATTAAAAGATAAATAAAGTTGTCATCGAAACTATATATAATCAACCTTGTTTTATAAGCTTTAGACCTGATTCATCTTTTTATGTTTTATTTAGTCATTCTTAGGTACGTGGAACCCGTTGAAAATCACGGTTACTGCACACTATTTAAAGACTTGACAAACCAGATCAACGAATGTAACTACCGGTCCTTTTATATATATCAATGCTTTGTAATATAAGTAAATGGTATTAATTAGTCTTTTTGACTTTTACTTGCCGTCAATATCAACGCGTGTATAGACTCCCCTCCCTCAACGAGTGTACTGTTGCTCGTAACGTCTCCTGCATGGGGAGACGACTCCATTGCAGATGAGCCGAGCGGCACGGAAGGAGAATGCCAGGCGGCATGGAAGGAGAACGCCGTGCGACTCTATTTCACGAACTTTACTTTTTGGATTAAATATTATTTTAACGTCGGTATTTAATTTCATAATATTGTTATCTTATCGTGCGATTCGTGTATTTTTAGTACAAAAGTTTAGTTGTCCCGTAACAACGCACGGACACGAACCTAGTAAAAAACTAGATTCAATGATCTTTTTAATGATACTAATTATGTACCATAAATATTAATATTTTTTAATATATATTTTATTAAAATTGTTTATCAGAAAGCGAAATAGATAAATATTTTAGGATGGAAGGAGCAGAGGTTGTTGTCCTGGCCATCCGAGAGAAGGATATAACGCTCGCGATTTGTGATGGCGGCCGTCGAACACCTCGTGAACCACACGAAGACCGCCTCAAATGTTCGTGCCGCCTTGGGAGACCAGGGACTGGGACTCCACGGCGGCCTTGGCCGAGGTTGCCCCGGCGGCCCTGCGCTTCACAGCATTTGGGCCGGACAGCAAGTGGCTTCCTGGGTCGCGCAGTCCGCTGGGCCAGTGGGCATCATCGATGCGTCTGGCCTGCAGCAAGCTAATGGCCGCGCGCACGGCACGGCCGGCGCTTGCCCTTTTAGTACCAAACAGCTTACTGAAGCTGATGGCAGGAGGGAGCGCAGCTATTTAGAAGTGTTTGGACGCCTTCTAGAGAGCACGCGGCTGCGCAGTAAGCACAAATACAGTGTGCATTATTGCAGCATACGCTCATTTTTGGAGGAGGTTTTCTCTTGTAGGGAGGAGCCCAACAAATCAATACAGTTTTGTTTATAAAAAAAATTATGTTTTCTTTTCATTTTTGGAGCCCAACAAGTTGCTTTGGAGATTGAGTTGAGGAGCCCAGGAGGTTGCTTTAGAGATTGAGGAGCCCAGGAGGTTGCTTTAGAGATTGAGTTGAGGAGCCCAATAGGTTGCTTTGAGAGGCGAGGCGAGGCGCCAACTAGTTATTTCAGTCTTTCAGAGAGGAGCCAAGTTGCTTTGAGAGGCGCCCAAAAAGTTATTTCAGAGATAGTGGAGCAATTTGCTTCCAGAAACAGAGGTAACGTTCAACTGGTATGTTTATTGTTGTCAGGCGGATACAGAATCTGGCCATCTTTCCACCTATTCGTGTTAATTTAGATCAGCCCCTAGAAGAGGGGGTACGAATATGGATGAAATTTGCGGCAATCAATTCGTCGTCCAAAATGCTGACCACATCGACATCGTGGCATGCAACATGTTCTTCTCATTCTTCGTGTTTTCCAAGCTCTAGTGTATAATCGAAGGCATAGCCCTCGCGCTCGTGTCCACCTCATGGATCTTTCTTTTACCGCCGAGCACCGCGACGTGGTGAATCATGTCGGTCAAGTCGGCGTACGACGACCCACCTTCCTCCATGGCTGCCTTCGCCTTCGCGGCGAGGTCCTTGGCCCTCGCTCTCCTCGCCGTCCCCTTGGGCCCCTCGTCCATCAGCTCGGCCACCGCTTTCTCCACGGCGGCGCTCGTCACCTGCACCCCCTCGGCCTCCTTGGGTAGGAACATGGCGGGCACCTTGACACCGGACCTGACGCCGACATCGAGGACGTCTACGAGCAGCCGCTCGCTGCTGAACTGATCGGAGAAGTTGGGCCACGTCAGCACCGGCACGCCGTGGGCGATGGCTTCCAGCGCGGCGTTCCACCCGCAGTGGGTCAAGAAGCCGCCCACCGCGGGGTGCGAGAGGATGGTCACCTGCGGCGCCCACCCGCGGACCAGGAGCCCCCTGTCCTTGACGCGCTCCTCGAACCCCTCGGCGAGCCACGCCTGCACGTCGGCGTTGGAATTGGCCTCCTTGATGGCCCAGACGAACGGCCGCTCCGACGCCTCGAGGCCGCGGCCGAGCTCGATGACCTGCTTCGCCGGCAGGTGCGCCAGGCTGCCGAAGCTGATGTAGAGCACGGACGACGGCGGGCGGGCGTCTAGCCACGACACGAAAAGGCCGGCGTCGACGTCCGGGCGGTTGCCCCTGCTGGCCCTGGCGTCCGCTACCAGGCCGCCGGAGGCGCACGTCGGCCCGATGGCTCACGTCTTCCGTCCCAGTGCCTCCGCGTAGCGGTCGACGAAGACGCCCTCGATGTCGCGGAAGGTGTTGAGCAGCAGGCCGTCGGCGGTGGCCTCGGCCTCGTCGACGTCGCGCTGGAAGCCCTCCGCGCCGGGCCACTGGAAGAAGCCGCGGAACGTGGCCTTGTTCGCGACGGCGGGCACCGGGAAGTCGGGAACCTCGAACGTCTCAAGCTCGTCGGCGACGCGGTCGTGGACGCCGTGCTTGGACAGGCTGTGCATGGCGAGGAGGAAGTAGGTGGACGGGCAGTGGAGCACCAGGCGCGGGATGCCGTGGCGGGCGCACACCCCCGCCGTCCACGGGTTGCATGAGTCAGCGATGAGGCAGTCCAGGCGACGGGGCAGCGACCGCACGTACTCCTCCAGCGGCGCGTCCATGCTCCACGCGGCCTGGAAGAAGGGCAGGAAGTGCTCCCTCTCCGTGAGCAGGTCCATGTTCTCCAGACCCTCCGACAGCCCGTGGCCCAGGCCGGGGAACGCGATCTCGACGTCGAGCCCCGCCCACCGGGCGCTTTCTACGACGGCCCGGTTGCGCGCGGCGTTGACGGGCGTGGTGACCACGGTGACTCGCGCGCCCCGGCCGGCGAGGAGGCGCGCCAGGTCCACCATCGGGATGATGTGGCCCTGCGCCACCAGCGGTACGAGCAAGAAGTGAAGCCCCGCCATTGCTGCCCGCCTACTATCCACTGCTCGCCTCTGTGCTTTCTCGCTAGCTGCAATGGCGGGAGCGCGTGCACCTTATAGTCTCGATCGTCATCTCGACATGATCGACCGATGCGGAGTCTGCGAGTCGAAGCTCGAGGTTGACGACGTGAAGGGGGGCCGGGTGCCAACCACGTACGCCTGACGTGCACACCGTGGTAGATCTAGGGAGCAGTAGACACAAGGAACCGGAGTCCACTGGCCGAGAGGGGCCGATGCGATAAGGAGGGTGAGGCCGGGAAGAGCCGAACGCGGCATAGCATTGTGTTTGGAGTCTCGTGATTGGTCTGAACTGACGAGTGGAGACAAGGGAGGTTGCGGCGGCTGTGGCCACGCTGTGGAAGATGGCAAATATGGCGGGCGAGCCAAGATTGTGTTTTGTACAAGGAGACTGCAGTCCAAGTCTGCTAAGATCGAGCGAGGCTTCCGCTTTCGCCGTCATCCATGTCCAGTGATCGGGAAATCTGGCCTGGCGGCTGTAGAGTCTAGTCCAGGCTAACAAGTAGCAACTAGCAAGGCCGTGTGGCGGTGTGGGTCGCATTACAGGAAGCGCTGGACGAATATGGTGCACATCTTCTGCCAAATCAAAAGAAGAAAGAGAAAGCAAAATGCTGCGCATCTTCTGGTTTGTTTATGGATTTTCCCCTGTAGATTAAGTTTTTTTTACAACACTCCTGTAGATTAAGTTGACCCTAGGTGTTAGTTTTCAAACGTTCCAATTCAACGCCTTCCCCTTTTGTTTCTCCTTCGTGCTAAGATTCACCGTTTCTTTTTTCAATAAATGGAAATAAGTACTAGGCTTCATCTTCGTTAAAGAGAAATCAGGCCAACTTATTACTTCCTCTGTCCCGGAATTTTCCTAGCATAAAAAATTATTTGCAGAGATAAATCAATCTCTACGAGATTAAACAGTCCGCTGACTCATTTATTTTTCTCGAAGACCCCTCATATTGACTGCACCCCCCTCTCTTGCCCCTCTTTTTTCATCAATCTAGGCTTGAGTTTCTACAGTTAGAGATGGCTGTAATAAATACAAGTACTCCAATTAATGAAGGGTAGTATGAATACCGAATCTATTTATTCAGAGACAAAGAAAATATAACCCCCAACACTTTAAGGGCATGTTCGGCTGGCCGGCTTCGGCTGGCTGGCTGACTTTTTTTTCCCAACCGGAGTAGTGTTTTTCTCTCACAAAATTCCAGCATGAACAATGTTTTCCAGTTGCTACAGTAGAAATTTAATACCAGCCGAACACTCTCTAAGACAAACAAATAAATTTATGACAAAATAAACTGAAAACCCAATTTTAAATATAAGACCATCCGAAAACGCAGAGAGTTTCAAAGCTGCAGTCTCCAAATTACACCGAACCTCTAAAACGAGCGCTTGTTGATCTTCACGATGTTACAGATGGACGCACGGTTTCCTTAAAAAACACTGTTCGCTTCGCTGAAAAAACAAACTGAAACACTGTTCCGACTAATTTGCTGTAAGAGAAAAATACTGTTTAAACTGAAAAGTACAGATTATAAGAGAAACGAACATGACCAAAGAGCACAGTAGGTTCGCCGATACCACATCCGTTGTTACCTTCACATCGCCATCGATTTATTCCACCACGCAAAACGGTAGCAATACAACAGCGCTGCATTTCTCTTTAGCTCATACTACGGTGTTGCCATTGCCACACTGTTAAAAACAAAATGTGATCGGGAAGTTCAAATTGAACGTCCATTGAATCCTATCAGCCCCTTGGTCACCACCGGGCACCGAATCAAATGGAGATGGTGGATTATATACAGTTTACTCGTCTACTTGTTGTGTTTATTTATGGTCCAAGATGCTAATCATATGGTGCTATGCAGCTTAGGACTCTACTGACAAGGCGGCGCCGGCTCCTATGTTCTCCTTGTTCTTACTTCCAAGCAGTGGCGCAGAAGGCTGAGTGCTCACGCCCGTGTCCTCCTCGTGGCTCTTCTTCATGCTTAGCTCCGCGACGTGGCGCAACATGTCGTCCAACTCGGCGTACGACGACCCGCCTTCCTCCATGGCTGCCTTCGCCTTCGCGGCGAGCTCCTTGGCCCTCGCCCTCCTCGCCGTCCCGTCCGGGGCCACGTCCATGAGCTCGGCCACCGCCTTCTCCACGTCGGCGCTCCTCACCTGCACCCCCTCGGCCTCCTCCGGTAGGTTCATGGGCGGCAGCTTGGCGCCGGACCTGACGCCGACGTCGAGGACCTCGACGAGCAGCCGCTCGCTGCAGAACTGGTCGGCGACGTAGGGCCACGTCAGCACCGGCACGCCGTGGGTGATGGCTTCCAGCGTGGCGTTCCACCCGCAGTGGGACAAGAAGCCGCCCACCGCGGGTGCGAGAGGATGGTCACCTGCGGCGCCCACCCGCGGACGAGGAGGCCCCTGTCCGCGACGCGCTCCTCGAACCCCTCGGCGAGCCACGCCTGCACGTCGGCGTTGGATTTGGCCTCCTTGATGGCCCACACGAACGGCCGCTCGGACGCCTCGAGGCCCCGGGCGAGCTCGATGACCTGTTTCGGCGACAGCTGCGCGAGGCTGCCGAAGCTGATGTAGAGCACGGACGACGCCGGCCGGGCGTCAAGCCACGACAGGACGAGGCCGACGTCGACGTCCGCGCGGTTGCCCCGGCCGGCCATCGCGTCCGCGTCCAGGCCGCCAGAGGCGCACGTCGGCCCGATGGCCCACGTTTTCCGTCCCAGCGCCACCGCGTAGCGATCGATGAAGACGCCCTCGAGGTCGCGGAACGTGTTGATCAGTAGGCCGTCGGCGGTGGCCTCGGCCTCGACGACGTCGCGCTCGTAGTTCTCCATTCCTGGCCACTGGAAGAAGCCGCGGAACGTGGCCCTGTTCCCGACGGCGCGCACGGGGAAGTCCGGTACCTCGAACGTCTCCAGCTCGTCGTCGGCGACGCGGTCGTACACGCCGTGCGTGGACAGGCTGTGCGTGGCGAGGAGGTAGTAGGCGGACGGGCAGTGCAGCATGAGGCGAGGAATGCCGTGGCGGGCGCACACCCCCGCCGTCCACGGGTTGCACGTGTCGGCGATGAGGCAGTCGGGACGCCGGGGCAGCGACCGCACGTACTCTTCTAGCGGCTCGTCCATCTTCCACAAGGCCTGGAAGA